GCCTAGAAGCTTCGACGGCTTTTGTGGATTTTTCGCCGACTCCGGCTAACCTCGCTGGAGATAGGTCTTGACCCAAGAGGGAATAATACTCATCTCTTCATGCGCTTCCAGGATATGTAAGTGGATCTTTCGAATTTCAAGTTTTATTTTCCCACAAGTTTGAGATTTATGTGTTTAACTTGAATTTTGGTGTTCTTGATGAGGAGTTATGGTGGTAACATTGATTCAAGAGCTTAATAGCTAAGTGGAGATTGATGAACGACTTTGGAGGGCAGGACAAGAACAAGAAATGGTATATACTTTAATTTTATTGAATTGTTTGTAGACTTTGGTTAAAAGAGGAAGAATTAAGCATGTTATACGTAAGCTAACACATTGAAATAGAAGTTAAATATGATTCCTTGATAGTTTGGGAAGTGCTCTGAAATTGTAAATTTGATTAAACGAGTATGGATTCTAAATTACAGGAAACTTATTCATTTTGCGGAGAGAAACTATGTTTCATGTCGCCTACTTTGGCTCTTGATTTCCATGTCCTTGGGAGTTCCTTTTGATCTAATATTATGTGTTTTGGAAATAAACATGTCCATGATCAAAACCCATATGATTTCACTTAACTGCGTTGAGTCTTGATAGATTAAAATCATGTCCAAAAGTTGAGTCACAGGGCTGCCAGGCAGCAGCAAGTTCTGTAATTCCAGTTTTGGAACTCCATTTCATAGTTGGAATAACTTACCATTCAGAGTTTCTTTCGCTACCAATATTATATGATTTCAAAGTGCACAAAACAAGCCTCCAAAAACCATTTAAGTTTGTACCATTTCGTTTAGGTTTGTGCTTTCAAAGTGAGCCTAAACTTGGTTGATCGAAGCAGTTTTTATGCAACTTTTGTGGAGAAAGGGGGGAGGAAGAGAAAAAAAAAAAGAATGGGGAAGACTCTAGAGCACTCTCTCCTCCCTCTGTATCTCATTTTTTTAGTGGGGGGTTGGAGAGGGAAGGAGGTCGTCACTTCCCACCACGTCTCCCAAATTCATCTCGCGGTTGATCACCATGACATCTTGCTTTCCTCCATCTATCAACCCCATCTCCCTATGGTATAAATCAACTCAAGTCAGTGAGCTCCCAAAATGTCTCATGCTAGGTAGGGATGATAATATACATTTAAGGATCACTCCTCTGGGTGATGTGGGATGTTACACCTGGGGACGACGTGGTGTTTGTGAACTGCCTGCGCACTTTGGGCAGAGCCGCGAAATGTCTTAAAAAGAGCGACTTAATCCGCAACTCATCCCAATAATTATTCACCACTCAATGCTTCTACATTAAAGATGGCAAAGTTGATATTTGATACTTTTAAATTGTAATATCGATGGATATGACGCATTACCTTAGTGGTGAAAAATAATCATTATTTATCCACACATTAAAGTTGATATGATCCCCATTCTCCTCTCTCTAACAACATATCAGCTAGAGCTTCTTACTACCTTCGAATTTGATTGTGTACTTAAAATTTGATATTGCTCTAATATTCATCACACGCAATGTATTAAGTTAAGATTACTCTCAACTTTCTTCAAATTTAAAATAATTCAAGCCTAACATATGCTAATTGAAGATGGTTAAAGTAATCAGCATTTAGCAAAAGTATCAGTAGACAGCAGGGCGCTTCATCGAAAATTGCATCGTCCTTTAAAGAGGATAATATTATACTATCAGAAACAGATAAAATATTTAAGGATTGATTAGGACAAGTAACGTATGGAGTTGTAGACATGATTTGTCATTTACTAATGAAAGGCAGGGTAGATTAGTAAAGTTGGATTGTCTTTCTCATGCGTCGGCAGGCAACTTGACAATTTGGACCAGCAGTGTGCTTCTGTTTGTGATATCTAGGCATTGAATTTACCAGAAAGGACACTGTGGGGTTGTGGTTCTAATTTCTAAAACGTTTGATTAAGATCAAGAAATCTTTGACCAAAAAAAAAAACAAAAAAAATCAAGAAATCTTATCGTAGGAGATTAAAGTAGCTTCATAGTATATACGCAAAGAAATACTAAGAAAATTCTCTTAAAGTTAGACTTTGCATGCATCTCACAATTTAATGTTAATTTTCATGCTAATTTATAAATTTTTACAAAAAAAAACATGAGATAATAAAAAATTTCACTATAAAAATGTTTCATTAGTATTTCTTTCAAACCTAGGGAATCATTTTAGTCAAAATTTGCTAGTATAAAAAGATGAAAACTACAATAATTGAAGAGATAGTGACATACTACCATGATCATTTTGTCAAAAGTAAAAACATTCATCATTACACTGGCATTGGTGAACATCTTATGTTGGTCAGCAAAATTACGTATTCCCACACACAAAAATTCAATCAACTATTAACAGAAGCATAAATTGGAGGTGATTTATTTTTCATTTTTGTGAACCCAACCGTTGGTCCCTAGTTATACGAAGGGCCCGACCACCACTTAAGGGTGTAAAAAGAAAGTCGCTACTGTGGAGCTTTTCAGTAGAGAATCGACAGTAACATACTTTTTTTTCTTCCAAATTGTATTCATTGATTTCATTTAAATTATTCAATTTGATGATCGAAAATAAACAAGAATGCTTAAGAGAAAAAAGAAGCGTGGTTATCAATTCTCTTTATAGTAATGCTTGATTTTGTTCTTTGATTTTTTTTAGATCATTCCTCTTGCTTTTACTCAGAGTTTGTTTCTCTTTTAAAATGATTGAAAGTACTTTTAGAAAAAATATTTTTTTGGTTCCAAAAGCGTTTAAAATATTTCTTACAAGAAGCATCAGCTATGTACATCTTGAGTTTAAGTGTTTTTTTCAGGTTCACTTGAATTTTAACTATTAATTGGTTTAAAAAAATATTTTCACTAAAAGAACTTTCGAATAGTTCCTTATGTGTTTGTTTGTTTGTTTTGTATCTAGAGTGATTTGACGCTCCTCTATGCAAACATGCTAGTGACTAGTGAATGACAAAGTGTAGAATTTGCGGCAGGGATTTGGATCTCATCCGAAACTAAATTGTGGGGATCTTAGGGATCCTCATATGGTAGTTGTTCATCGTACATCATGCAGTCAGAAATTATTTCGAATTTTTTTATTTAAAATTAAACAACAAATAGTACCTAACGAAAACTGACCGCACGATATACGATGAACAACTAGAATATGAGGATTCTTAAGATCCTCATCCTTGAGGCAGGATCTTAGATTGGCCATTGGTGTTGTAGACAGTTGTCCGTTTTCAAGGAGACCCAATTGAGGGATGGTTGAAAAGTATGTGAATAATTTCTTCACCATACATTGTGGAAGCACGTGAACTTGAATTTTGGATTCTAAGATGACAACCTCCCTACTTGATGCTTCAATAATTGACCATGGAGAGGAACACAACAAATTCCATAACTAAGTGCATCAGTATTTCTAGGCCCTTGAGATTTGAAAAAGGTGAATTTTCCGCATCATTTTCTAAACCGATGAGTGCAGAAAGAAAAAAGTGGTGTGTCGGAATCGAGGAAGAAAATATCGGTAATATCGGAAATATCGGTAGTTCGAAAACACGGAAATATTGATGAAAATATCGGGATAATATCGATATCGATAAAAATTACATGGAAACCACGGAAATTGTAAGAAAAACTTGGAAAATTTTATTGAAACTTTGCAGGATGTTTATTTAGTCAATTATCTATTAGTTTATCACAAAAAATTGAAAGGAAATGCATTGCATGATGGATTTAACATTATCAAGTTGATTATATAGCGAGCTGACAAACACTGTGAGTGTAGAAAATATGTAGTAATTAATGAAAGAATTCTAAACACACCATAATCATTTATATATAATGAATTAGTATAATATTTTACACTTTATACATTGCATTTTTTGTTCTTCTCTAACAGAATTTGGTCTTCACGTGGAGAAGAAGATAAAGTAAGCAGATTTTTTGGTTCTTCTCTGACAGAATATTTGGTTCTTCCGAGCAAAGTCACTTCCAAATCTTTCATACAAAACCGTGTGCCACACACACACACCCTCAAAGTTTTTTTCTTTTTCTCTCGAATAACACACACACACACACATAACCATACACACACACCCTCAAAGTTTTTTTCTTTTTCTCTCGAATATCTAGTGCTTTACACCCTTTATAATTTTGTAGACCTCCTTCAGTACTCCTAACATATCGTTTATTGTGATCAAAGAAAAGAGAACGATTCAATGTCACCGAGACTATGATTTTTTGTTCAACAGGATCCAAAACCAGTCAGTCCAACTAATACCAATCATGCAATCGAACGAGAAGGAGTTCCTTACCTTTCCTACTTGCATTGAACAGATTAAAACAGGAATCCAACAATATATGTATATACATATGCCAAGGTCAGAAAATTCTGATCATATTGAAAACATCAAGCAATTACTAAACTAACTCAAAAATTGTAACTAACAAAGCACCAATAGCAAAAGCTTTCCACAATATCGGTCCAATCCCTAACTACGACTGATTAAACCAGCAAAGCGAACCCAAGTTTTTAAGGTTACCCAACAATGTAAACAATTTCTGCTACGCTACTAAACGCATAAAAAACCCGACATTTCAATTTTCATCTCGAAGTTTCAACATCTCTATTCCATTCCACAAACTTGCATTGAACAGAGGCAATCAGGAAACAACGATATATGTATATACATAAGCCAAAGTCAGAACCATCTGATCAGATGAAAAACATAAAGCAGTAACTAAACAAGCTCATAAGTGCAACTAACAACACATCAACCCGAAAAGTTATCCACAATGTTGCCCGAAATCCCTAATTCAGGTCCATTAAAACTAGCATTGTAATCCAAATTTCTAACTTACCCAACATTGCAAGAAATTTTGCTAAAGCCATAGAAAATCGACATTTGAATTCTCACCGCAACAATGTCGAATTCCAATCCATCTACGCACCCCTAAGATTCAATTGCCTAGCGATTCAATTGCCTAGCAATCTCATAAGAAATAAAAGCATCAACAGCAGCATACTGAATCTGATTATAAGAAAGCCACTGACTGTCCCACCTGCTCATCGTCACCCTCTTTGGCTTCTGCAGCTCCTTCCCCAGCATTGCGCTCGCCAACCGCTTCAACCCGGCGTTCCTCAGCTCCCCAACCCCCAACCTCTCCGCCGCGAAACCCCGAAGATCAACCCAATTGGCGACCCGTAGCCCGTAGTCCAAAAGTAGCTTCTCACAATCGCTCTCGATCCCGACGCCGTCGAACGTGAATGAGGGATTGGCGACTGAAAGATGATGCAGCCAGAAAGAGGACGAGAAAAGATGACGGGTTGATCTCATAGATCAATCCCATGGCATGTTAAATTCCTGGTTTGTTGGTGATAAGATGTAGTTTTGTGGTCTGAAAGCTATAGGATGTCGTTACCTCAACTTTGCAAGAAAGCACGGTTCTAGTCCCACATCGGCCAGCTGAAGAATGTAGGAGAGTTAAGACGTGTATAAAACCGAAAGCCCAACACTACCAGATGCATGCCTTTCTCGGCCTTTTGGCTAAGATCAAGTGTATCTGTTCGTATCAGTTTAATATTTGATACGTGGGCCAATGGTCCACAAGATATTATCGATAATATCGATAATATAGCGATATATTAACGACAATTAGATGGATAAGTGTGAAAATATCGTTCATTCACAAAAACGATATTATCGGCGAAATATCGCCAATAATATCGATATTTTGTACCTTGGTCGGAATCATTCGCATCAAAGAGATGTGAAGAAACAAATGCGCAAAAGGTGAAATCACTAATAGCATAATAATAAAGTATTTGGTATGTAATATCTCACATCGTCCAAGGGAGTGGATCTTGTAAGCCTTATATGTATATTCTCATCTCTACCTAGCACGAGGTCTTTTAGGAGTTCATTGGCTTCGGGTTCCATCAGAACTCCGAAGTTAAGCAAGTTTATGTGAGAGGAATCCCATGATGGGTGACCCACTGGGAAGTTCTCGTGTGAGTTCTCGTGCGAGTTCCCCGAAACAAAACCGTGAGGGCGTGGTCGGGGCTCAAAGTGGATAGTATCGTGCTACAACATAATCGAGCCCGAGATATGGTAGGGGCCTGGACCGGGATGTGACTTGGTACATCGCAAACTACTTCATATGGTAAAGCTTAAACGTTTTGAGTAGTGTTGCACTTAAATTAAAACGAGTTTTGCTATTTCCTAACAAGAAATACTCGCTCCTTATATGAAAGAAGTCGTTCTACTTTATCAACATAGCTCAGTTTGACTTAGGGCTGATTTGGTATTACTGTGCTTTGAAAAAAAGCTGCTTCTGCTGTGCTGTGAAAATAAGCATTTGTAAAATAAAGCAGCAGAGTGTTTGGTAAACTTTTTTGTAAAAGTGCTTTTGAAAAAAAAAACAGTATTATAGTGCTTGGTAAACTTTTATGTAAAACATATGTGAAAAAAAGCCGTTTTTTCAAAGCTGGATTTTGCAGCTTTGTGTTTTTGGCTTTTTTTACCCAAAACTGTGAAAAAAGCTGAAACTGAATGTTTACCAAACACAAAAAAGCTCCCAGCTTTTTTTAATACCCACTTTTTTCAGAATTACCTCAGTACCAAACCAGACCTTAGAATGTCAAAAAACTTTATTTTGCTAATTTTAATGATTTACATTTATGACTGTGATTTGTAGGTAAAAGAACGACACTTTGTATGTAAGAAGCCAATAGTTGGGGTTTTTAACGTATTGGGCTCATGAGGATGTGAGTCGCGGGTCACCCAAATTAAGTTGATCCCGCCGGATGGAGTGGGCCGGCCCAAATCATACCAAAAAAGGCGGGCTTTAAATCGGCGCGCAAGACTTTTTGAGGATATAATACAAAGCTGTGCGTTTCATGTCTGAAATAATCAAACTGAATCTCATTTTTCATTTTTCTCAGCAACCAAACTTCATTTTCTCGCGTTTTTTTCCCACCCTGATCCGGCGAAACCGATCGGAAGCGCCGATGGACAAGGTGGAGGAGGAGGTGGAGAAGGCGAAGAAGGAGTGGGACGAAGCGTACAGTAACGTCGTACAGCAAATAAAGGCGATCGAAGAGTACGGTGAATCTACTGGAGCTGCTACTATGGTGTCGCAGAAGGACTCGCTGCCCAGGATGAACGGGCTCGCACAAGACGGCTTGTCGTTGCTCAATTCATTGCAGTTCAAGCTCGATCTGTTCGCTCCCCAGTTGCCCACCGACGATCAGGTCCAATCCGCCAAGGCCTTGCTCGAATCCTGGAAAAATCGATCCCACAGGTAATCGAATTCTCAGTTTACGTTTCTGTAGAAGTCAAGGAATTGAATTTTTGATTTAGGGTTCTTTCAGTTCAGTTATATTATTCAATTTAATGCGACGAACTAAGCTCTTTAATATATTTTTTGGTAAATTAAAGCTCTTCAATTGAAATGCAAATATTGAATTTTTTTTGGTAATTCTAGTTTTTGTGGTTTTTCTGATCAGTTTGCGGTTGAGTTTGAGGAATGCAAATTTGCAAGCAAAGGCTAACATGAGGAAAGCTGCTCAGAAAGAGGTATTGAACTACTTTTTTGGACTAATTTCGGGTAGTTTATGAATCTCTTGGACGATAATGCTTCACATTACCATTGTGAATCGTTGTGCGCTAGATCGTATAGTCCTCGGGTTAAACTGTTTTTATGTGGATACTGTTTGATTCCCTTGATGTGAGACAAAACGAGATGGTTCTTGGTGGATTGTCCTTTATTGAGAAAACGATGTTTGGAACGAATTGTGATTGATTTAGCTGTATTTGTTGCAGAGAGAACTTCTTTTGGGAGGTGGAGAAGAGTCCACGATTCGTAGACGCAACTTACAGTATGTATCAAATATTCTAAATGGCTTTCAGTAAACTGGTATCTATTTTTGTTTTTGCTTTCACTCTGGAGCAAAATTTTGATGAGCTTGACTACAGTTTTCTCGTACTGTTAGATGAATTTGTTATTTAAAAGCCTTTGATTTATTGGTTTTCTCCAGAACAAAAGCTGGAATGACATCTGCCGCAGAAAGCATCACAGAGAGCCTTCGCCGTACTCGTCAGCTGATGGTTCAGGTTAGTTGCCGTATTTTCTTTCTTTTCGATTTACTTTATTGCTTACATCTTTATGAATCTGTTGTATGAGTCTTTTGGTGGGATGAAATATTTGGTTTTCTTATTTTTTCATGTGTAGGAAGTGGAACGAAGTGCTGGCACACTCATGACTTTCGGTGAGTTTCTTTCATTCTTCTACGTCAAATTAGTTTGTATGTGCTTAGAGTGTGGCACTGCAATTTTTTATACTTCTTTGAACAGCTTATCTAATGACAACGTGCCTTAGAGACTGTCTACGTTAAAGACATAATGTATACGTCATTGATCTAGGTCCATTTAGAACGACCATTCTGCTTGTATGCAATATTTGAAATATGAATGTTAGTATCACAATTGATTTCGAAAGGTTGTTTTCCATCGTTAGATAAATACTATATGTCGGTTTGTGCAGAGGAATCTACTGGAGTACTGAAGAAGGCTGAAAGTGAATACAAGGGACACCGTTCATTGTTGATGCGAACCAGAAACCTACTCTCAACAATGCAACGACAAGATGTCATTGACAGGTTCAGAAGCAAAATTTCCTTTGTCATAGAACTATTATCTACATCTGCAGATTCTAACATTGAATTTTATCTGGACAGGGTGATACTTGTGCTAGGATTCTTCTTGTTTTCTTTAGCTGTTCTATATGTCGTTTCAAAGCGTATTGGTCTACTGGCGCTGCAGAGGCAGGTCACATCTGCCATTAAGGCTGGTATGGTTGGGCGAGCAGAACTCAGACCTGGAGCTGTTGAAGATGCCGTAAATCATGCACAGGCCTATGGCAATGCAGCTCATAAAGTGGAGGAACCACTAGAAAGAGTGATGCACGACGAACTACGATGAATTCGAGTCTGTAGCTGTGTTAGATTACGCATTGCCATTACGACATTAGGACGTCTCTCTGTCTTAATTTTTTGTACCTGCACTCTTATTTTCATGTTGGTTTCTTGGAGCCAGCATCGTTAAATATGTACGACGTTTTTTCTTTCTTTATCATATTTGGAAATAGCAATCTCGCAATTTTAAGGGAAATTGATTGAAACAATCTTCTCTGTATCGTTCCAATTTTATCAGAACAAATTGATTGAAATGATGAAAGTAAAAATGTTAATTGATAAAATGATTACTTTTCTGAATTTTGTCAATGTGCTGTCAAATTTTTATTGATTTATCGTCAATTTTTGACCATCGTGATCAATATTTTTATTGATTTGTCATCAATAATTGATTTTGATCATTTCAGAATCAATATTCGTTGAATCCTCATCGAATCCAATTTTTTCAACCTTTTAACACATTGCCGAGCACAATTGATGACAAAATGTAATTCCATAAATAAAAAAATAATTAAATACTTTGAACCTTCCCCACACAAAAACCAAGCAAACAAAGGATTCATAAGAGGTGAAAAACAAAGAAACACAGCTGAAATTTAGCTTGATCTTCTGATTCTGCAGTTGATAATCCCATGCCCGATCGTTGGCCGGCCGGCGGAAACACTAGACACGCGAGGAAAAACAACACACCTGGTCGACTCGCTGCTACTTTTATCACTAAACCACCAACTCCAAGCTGCAAGGTCATGAGCCATGGAAAAAGACGGCCAATTTGCCTATGAACTGCCGTTTGTGACGCACCAGACGACAGAGACTGTTTCTTGATACTTGACAATTCATTGAAAGTATCCTTCTCATCCTTCCGTCGTATGGAAACTCGCAAACCCATGAAATCCAGAAGAAGAAAAAAAACACTCCCATCTTTCTTATTCTTTCCTTGACACTAAGAAGCCCTCCGTGTTTCTTCACTGCGGAGTCAACCTCCAGACACGAATAAATGCATCCTCACCAGAGCTGACCACAGTGTGCTCATCAATGAAAGCTAAGCCGTACACCCCACCCAAGTTTGCACCCTTAATGGTTGTACGGCTTGCTGGAGGCTTGTCGACTTCGTATATGATAACACACGTGTCAAGAGATCCAGTTGCAACCATCGTGCTATCAGGAGACCAAGCAAGGCAGTTTATTCGCGCAGTATGGTACAGCATGTTCTTAAGCTTGATCTGGAGGAAGAAAATAAAGCACAATGTTTACTATGAATAAGTTCAACGATAGCCAACAGGCAGGAGTCATTCTAAAGTTCCCATATGCAACCACATAATCTATCTGAACGTAATTTTATGGTAAGATGAAAGATCACATCACAACTACCTAATTTATTAACAAATCAAGTTCCAAGTTCTCATCAAAATTTGCAAAGATATATAATCATTTATTTGACATTCCAATATGCACATCTATCATTTCATAAGCTATACTCAAATGCGAAAGTCACAAGTGTGCTGGCAAGAAAGATATACTTGCTGACAAGAGCGAATGGGATATAGATTTTATCAGTTGAACTTGATCAATTTGCCTGTATCACACTTATATCTCTTACAAATCATCCGTTTGATTTTGACTAAATTTGGTTAAACAAAGAAGATCAGCTGATAAGGGATTGATGCATGCATCTAAAACTTCTACACATGCATGCATTGACAAACAAAAACACGTCTTATTTTATCCTTCTTCACCATAAATGTCAATAATACCGGAACAATGGTTATAATATTAGAATGATGAAAATAAAAAAGTGCCTGAGGACAGTGAGCACACTACCTCTCGAGAGGCACGGTCCCAGACAACAGCTTCTCGGTTCAAATCTCCTGATGCAAACATAGAAACATCGGGAGAGTAGCGTATGACAGAAATGGGCCCCCGATGCTTCTCCAAAACAGCCTCTTCCTTAAGTGTATCACCTGTTACAGAATACATATGCAGTTTACCGTCCTGCCCACCAATGATGGCTTCACTTCCATCCGGTGATATAGTACATGCAGTCACAGTGAATCCAAGGTTAATAGTTGACAAAACTTTTGTGCCATGGAGCATGACAACTCCAGAATCAGTTGAAACCAAAGCAAGTTCAGGAGATAGAAGGGCAAGGCTTATGTCCTTTGGCTGACTTCCAACATCAATAGCCTCTGCATCTCCACATTGATCACTGCGGAGAGGAACTCTCCAAACCTAGGTAGTCATAAGAAAAATGCAAGAGGAAAGAAACTGAGATAAGGTGAACCCAAACAAGGCAAAACAGTATTCATATAGAATAAAATGTAAAGAATATACTGTTGAATTGTGAGAGACTAAAAGAGTATACAATTTTTGTCACCTTATTGTCAAATCCACATGAAACGATTTCTTCGTCAACAGCTGCTAAACATTTTATCTGAGAATTCTCCTTCCTTTGTAACTTCCCACCATATCCAGCACCTTGAATCCATTTAACAATGAGACCATCATAGCTGCTAGACAATATAAGTTTTGGGTCAATCTTTAGAACAGCTAATGAAGTTACATTCTTCATGTGTCCGGATATCAGTAGAGGGGCTTTATCAAGGTTGCTCGCTGAGAATATACTAATGAAGCCTCCGAGAGAAACCGTAACAATATGATCATTCTGCCACAGACACCCAACTAGCATGTCATCCACTCCACCCGATCCAGGAGGCGGCAACGTTTTCTTCAGCTTCCCATTATTATCCTCAGATATCTCCCATACTTTTGCCGATTTGTCAGCAGACACAGTCAGAACCTAATCAGCACATTCAATCAGGGAACAAACACAAAGAAAGTTTATAACACAGACAAAACAAAAGGACACAAAGTTGCAATCTTTATAATACAGTTCCGGTGACTAAATGAACAATCCAATGTTCTACCTGTTTACCATCAGGACTCCAGCTAAGAGCATAAATGCTGCCTTTGTGGCCATCTTCGGCGGACAGCTCTCCGATCTTCTCCGCAGTCTTTCCATCATAAACCATACCACTTTTATCTGAGCTTACAGTGATAAACTTACTACCATCTGGACAGAACCTTATACAATTTACAAAATTCGAATGATCCCTAAACATCGAAAAATCAATAAAATATTTCGAGTCAGGGAAGCAACACAAACACACACACAGACATACAGAATTACAATGTGATTAAATCAATAAGATTTCGAGTTAAATTATGTTAAAGAACAAACCTGAGAGACAGCTTGAATTTGAAAGGCGGTCCTTCGTAGAAATTCACCAAGAAATCCTCCCCACAAGTGACGATTCGAAAGGGTCTCGTCGGCTTAAACGCACAGCTTAACACACGCTTCGAGTGCCCATCAAAATCCCCAACAGTTGAGCCTGAATCCCACCTATTGAATCCATTCAAATTCCGTCAATTTTCTCACTATCCAAACACAAAGTGCCGGAAAATCCACCAAAAAAGAAAACCCATTTCGCAATTTTTAAATTGAACAATCAAGACGACGACGCTTACATGAACGCGCGAACGAAAGACTTCCCTTTGCCCTCGCCGGAAGCAACGATCCTCAACCCGTCAGGGGACCACTGGAGGTCGTCGATCCGACCCGAGAGGACCTTGAACTCGTTCTTCAATACGAAGTCGTTGTGGGTACCCCATATCCTGACGGTTCCGGAGACGTCGGCGGACGCGATCCACTCGCCGTTGGGGGAGAACCTAGCAACAGTGACGGGATAAGCGTGCTCGGCGTAAACGGCAACGTCGAGGGGGTTCTGGAGGCTCATGATAATTACGGATCTGCCATTGGTGTAGAGGAGCTTGTCGGATTTGGGGTCGCCGGAGATCAGAATCCCACGGCCGCGCTCGGTTGACGGGACGCAGGCGTAGGCCTCGGTGAGCTGGGGGGTCATTTTTGGGATTTTGGGAAAAGTGAGAAGCGGGGATTTAAAAGCGTGGGGTATATATAGGCGGTGGGGGCTACGGATAGAGTGATGATGGTTGCCAGTGTAGCGCTGTGCGAGTTTTGGAAATGTTCAAAAGGGAAGGTGGACGTGGAAACGTGTCCGTGTGTGAGTCGTCAGATCCAAGAGAAAGGAGAGAGAGTATCCTTGCTAGATTTTTTTTTGTGAGGATATGAATTCTCAGGTTAAATCCGTTCATCTTATATCGTGCGGTCAGAAATTATTATAAATTTTTTATTTAAAATTGAATATAAACGGTATCTGACGAAAACTGGTCGCACAATACACGATGAACATATGTAATTGAAAAATCTTTGAGATCTTCATAAAGAGAATTCAACAAGAATCATTTCCCGATAAGGAATTGTCTTTGTCTCCTCCTTTTTGCTTTTACTTTTTGTTATTTAGCCATCGCCCCACGAAACACATACTTATTTTCACTTTATCACGTAAAACTCATTATGTGTCATTTAATCTCTCGTAGCATTCTCTTTCACTATGCTCATTTTCATTCATTCAGTTAAATAAGTGTTAAAATGGCTTACGTAGCTCTTATGTGGTTCATGAACTTCATATGTCAAAAATAATAGGTTTAACGTTGTCATTTTCGCGATTAACTAAGTTCACATTATCAAATGATTTTTTTTTTTTAGAATTAAGGCCTAAAAGTGGAGCGATTTCTTTGTGGAGATGTTGCTCAAACTCTCGAGTAAGCACAATTGCGAACGCTGGTACTAATTAGGGTGTGATCTTAAGAAGATGACAGTTCTATGAAATCTGGAGGAGCTCAGCCAACTGACAGTAAGTCAGGCTCTTTCGACCAAAGAAGAAGTAGGGGTGGTGATGGCGGAGAAAGCAGCCATGGCTGCTCTTCCATGGCGGAGGGAAGGGAACGACGAATTAATGGAATGAGAATCCTCTTTGGAATTTGGATCCTCTTTATGAGGATCCCAAAGGTTCTCTAATTACATACGTTCATCGTATAGTGTGTGACCACAAATTATTGTAAATCTTTTTATATTGGAAGATCCCGGAGATCCTCGTAAAGAATCCAAAGGATCCTCATTCGAATTAATGGGCAAGTGGGTCTCTTTCAACCAAAAAATAAATAAAATTATAGGAAAGTGGGTCTCAATTGTGCGAAAGCAAAAGGTGTAAGAGATCCTTTACGGAATTGGATCCTCTCTTGAGCATGAGATTAGGATCCTTCTGACTCACTAACACGGGTCGTTGGATTTTGATCCAATAAATACAAACATGGGAGCTATCTAAAATTTATAATAATTATAGCCGTTGAATCAAAATCCAATGTCTCATGTTAATGGGTCAGGATGATCTTGATCTCCTGCTCGGGAGAGGATCTAATTCCATCTTTTACAGACTTGAACGAAAATAGGGCGTAGTGAAAGATGTTGTATTATTATGGGGGTAAAGTGGGAGAAATGAATTTCAAGGGGCAAATTGAAAGCAAGATGAGTCTTGAGGAGCATTGGAGTAAATAAGAGGTTATTTTGTAATTTTGTATTTCGTGCTTGCATGATCAAATTAAATTAAATTAAATTAATTAGATGAGTAAGATTGGGCTTGGGTCTCCTCGAAGCAAGACCCATCCATGCTGTCCAGGCCTAGCCCACTTCATTCACTGGGTCTAATTTCATGCCAAGTCCTGTTCTGTATGAGAAGAGCGGGATTCGGGGATGACAAATACTTAATTTGGAGGTTATTGATAATTTGATCGACAAATAGGACGATAGTACAATACTACATTCGTCATTGAATTGAAAGATTGTCATCCCCAGAATAGGACTTACCAACAACTAAGAAAAACTTGCGTATGGGCGGATCTATAGAGGGATCTGGGTGGTCCATAGACCATCCAAGGTCTGAGAAAAAAGCCTATAGAAGTCCTTCGAAAACCTGCCAAATGTTTTGGAAGGGAGGACCATTCTATTTCTAGGGTTATATGTTCTACAGACTAAGCAGTTTTAATTGTATTGTTAAACGTCATATAGTTATAGGGTTATAATATAAGCAATTTCATTCAATGAGGGTAAATGAGTTGCAGACTTGCAACAAACTCCTCATGAGGAAGAAGACTCATATAAAATCCTCTCTATTCCTTTGAATGTCGTTGTTCCTGCTTTGTCATACTACTTTTTAGTGAATTGGTCATATTTTTTGAAGGAGCGGATATAAAAAAAGCTATTAATAGACTCATAAATTGAGGGAACGGATTTTCATTTTATATAAACGACCTTGCTAAAAAAAAAAAAAAAAAAAAAACTTACTGTTTAGACTTTGTAAATTGTAATATTATTTGTTGGACCTTTTACATTGGGATCCCCCTACCTTAAAATTCTGGATCCTCCAACAAAATATTCTTGTGGTGATATCAAGCATTTTAACTTTCTATTGTAAGAGAACAAATTGACTTGAGAATATCTGAACTATCGACATCCCCAAATTAAGGTCTTAACTATAACAAAGAGAAACTTACTTTCAACAAGATACCACTGTGGTAGTATTTCAAGACAACTATATATACACTATCATACGTTTTACTCTTTTTCAATAAAAAATGCTTGATTAACTTTGTACAACTAAAGTTACAACCCCGTTCAATGAAAGCTCTTGACCCTTCCACAAGAAACATCACTTAATTACCTTACCAATATGTCAACCATAAAATTTCAATTATTTAATTAAAATTCGTAATTAATTACAAAAATAATACTTGGTAGATTAAATATGCAAAAAAAAAAACATTGAGCTTAATGGGACCATTTCCTGTCAAAGGAAATACTTCAAATTTCTGGCACAAAACTAGCACAAAGCTCCATCAAGATTTAATGGTGGCCAAGGAAAACTAGAGACTTTCGGGGCCTACCCACTTAAAAGGTAGGTTAGCTAGCAGGTGGAAAAGGTCAAAGGGTAAGTGGTGCACATTCTCACCTCACCAAACCATGCACATTCTTTCCATTCGCAGACACATAAAAACACACACACACACACACACTTGGGTAAAAACAACCAGTCCATCTAAACTTGTAAGGTTCTCCAAACTCTCCCCTACCATGCACACGCACACACACAGAATGCTTTATATAATATTATACATCTTCATGTTTCCTTAGCTCTACTGCTATATTCATGGGGCCTCGGCATTAGATATCTCTCTCTCTATCTCTCTCTCTCTCTCTCTCTCTCTCTCTCTCTCATCAGGAAGACAGGAACTTTTCATAAATATATATATAATATCTAATATCTCCATCTCTCTCTTTGATTATATGTTGTTGTGGTTCTAACTTGCCAGCTAGGGTTTCTGATCAATGAGGAAGCCTTGTTATGAGAAGTATGAGATAAACAAAGGAGCATGGTCTAAGCAAGAAGATCAGAAACTCATTGACTACATCCAGAAACATGGCGAAGGATGTTGGAATTCTCTTCCTCATGCTGCAGGTGGGTGTTTACTACAAATTTATCTTCCAGATTTCTTCGACTTTTACTACTTGATCGGTGTCTATAGCTAAAATATTTACTATTTTGCAACTTTAGCATCTATGATCTATATGAATATACATGATCATGATTAGGGAAGTAAGCGATCGATCCCCGATCATGATTGAGTAGATAAATAGCAAATAATATTGGGGAAAAAGGGGTGATATATATATAAATCGATGATATGTAGCTTTTCAAAGATCATGTATATGTTGAATAATATTATTGTTTAATGATGATTCATGACTAGGGTTGAGTCGGTGTGGTAAAAGTTGTCGACTGAGGTGGATAAACTATCTAAGGCCAGATCTTAAACGCGAAAGTATTCGAGAAGATGAAGAGGACCTCATCATCAGGCTTCATGCGCTCCTTGGGAATAGGTATACAAACTCAGTCCATATATATATAACCCCCTTTCCCTAAATTAATTTTTCAATAACACGATTGCCCAAACAACCTAACTAAAAAGAAAGTTTCAGGGTGATTTAATTGAGTTTGGAAACAATCATATATGTTTAACTTTCTTTCCAATACATATATAGCTATATAATTACAAATTTGGATATCCCTAATTTTTTTTTTTAACATAAGGATATCCCTAATTACAATAACCATATCTGTATATGTGTGTGTGTGTGTGTATACCTTAATTAGTTCGTACGTTAGAACCAAGAAAAACGATTGCCTTTAATTAGTATATAATTTAATTATACATATTAATTTTTAGAACCAAGAAAAACGATTGGCTTTAATTAGTTCGTACTTTAGGGTGTATACCTGGGTTGGTTAGTTTAGTGCTTCCCCTACACCAAAGTCAAAACTTCCTTCATGTTAGTTTAAATTATAATTATATTGACACCAACAATATCACCCTAAGTCAAATTCATACTTAAAGATGTTTTTTTTTAATTAATTAATTAATTTTTAACTAGAGAGAATTAATATAAAACCTAAACATATATTTGATATGAGGACTAATATATATATATGTATGATATATTCGTGAATTTACTTAGGTGGTCACTGATAGCCGGAAGACTGCCGGGAAGGACGGACAATGAGGTGAAGAATTACTGGAACACTCATATAAGGAAAAAGTTACTAAAGATGGGAAGTACTCTTGATCCCAAAAAACCCCATCACCACAATGATCCTCACTTGAGAAAAGGCACTACTGCTACTGTGCCACTACTGCAGCCTGATACCAGTTCACCAATATCATTTGCGTTATCGTCGTCAGATTCCATGAGTACTGGTGCTGAAATTCACAGCAACAAAAGCGGGTTGCCTGACCTGAATCTCGACCTCTCACTCTAATTGTTTGTGGAAGAGTGGCAGAAAAGTATATGATATATCTAGACTTAAACAAAAAAGTGTCATATAACTATAGTGTCTAGTTTAAGTATATACACCCCACCACCTCCAGGGCTTCTTTTAGACAATGGTGCTTGAGTACGTGGTTTGGCTTTAAATATGACTAGTCTGGTCGACTAGTATAAAGGTGTGTACGTAATTAATTTGGACATAGCTAGTTATCACTGTGTGTATAATTGGAAATTTGGCATGCACATGACTGCTAAGATCCTAGTTGTATATGTGTATAGCTAGCTAGGTAGGTATGAGTTTGCCCAAATCTCTCTTGCGCTGACTCTGTTGGAAAAGTTAGATATTATATATATATATATATATACACAATATCAGTTATAATATTTGAAACCCCTTGAAAGAGGTAAGGGTTCATCTCTTGTCGTACCTCCCCGTTTCAGTAATGAGAAATGCTTGATGTTGGAATTTGAAGGGGAAAAGTTTGTCCTATACTATATGTATGATGAAATGTATTTCGTTTTGATTACGAAATATATTGATTGAGATTTATATTGCGATAGTATATGCAACTGGTTTGGCAATATATATATCTTTTGTATCCTGTACTGTCCATGCATGCGTGGCTCACTCCTTAAGAAGTATGGTACATTAACCATTAGCTATTTCAGAATGAGAGAACTCAATTAGCTAAAGAATGTGACTATTAGTGTACGTAACACGTTCTTCCATGCTTTAACTATATAATCGCTCCCTATCACTTTTTAAGTTTTACTTTAATGGAGATCTCCTTGCCTAGACATGGTTTTTGGTCAAGAATCTGCTTTCGAAACAATGAAAAAGAAGAACAAGCTAGCAGCTGAAAGCTACAAACTTGAATAATGCGGTAAAAATCTAGTTTCCTTTACTTTTTATAATTGTTAAAAGAATGGGAGGGAAACACGACCACAACAGCGGATTCAATATTTTTTTTGTTGGGAGCAAGATGTGTATCATGTAGTCTAATATCACATCTTCTCTTCATGTCCAGCAAATTCAATTCCGGGTCACTTTTCCTTTTCTTTTGCCTTATCTCTCGACCTTCTCAGAGAACTTCTGTCAAACAGTTTGCCCTAGGACAACTGTAGTTACTACTAACCTTCCACAAACCTACAAAATTCATTTATATGTTTGTATATACATGTATTCGTTGGGAATATTAAGAAAGCTGTTTTTTTTTTTTTTTTTTTTTTTTTTGTGCTTGTAAAAAACCGGCGCATGCACTGTATCAATTTCAGAAGAAAATGAACTAGTAAATACGACTATTGCTCGAAACGATATAACAATTTTCGTAGCTGTGAACTTTTGACTATACGTCGATTACTTGAAAATATTACCCAAACTAATCGGACACTCTGATCTCTTTTATATTATCGACAGCAAGTCCTGCAACGGAGGATTTTCTAGATGGTTTACATATATGAACATAAAGAATATTTGATCACCAATCTACCTTACCTCATGTTCATTCTAATGTTCAAAGAACGAACATGATGTAGCTTGATTCCAATTTCCAACCTTTTTCTTGATGCTGATTTCGACTTTTCACCTAAAAGTTGTACGCATATTTTGTTTCAAACCTTCTTGGATATGGCCTGCTTTAATAGTTCTACAAGATCAATCGTCTCTTACAAGATTGATTCTTGGATAGCTTGTTCTGGACTTCCCTAGAGTTGAGGTTGGGGCCTCCGCTGGCTTTGGAGGGAAAGCGCTACATTGTCCAAAGTTCAAAGCATACTATAAGACTCTTTGAAGAATTACAAAAGAGGTCTTAGACTCTTAACCCATTTTTTTTGTTTTTACAGATCACCCACCCTTTGTCTGTGTAAAAAAAGAAGGATTAAGTACCTAGAACCCCCAACCATTTTAGTGTCATTCCAAATTGGTCTCAACCTTTTTAAACATTCCAAATAATAGTACCCAACCTATTAAAAATGTCACATTTGTTAAGCCCCAATTAAAAAATATCTGTTAAATTTACTAGGGCTTACTTTATCTCCAAAATCAATAGAATGTCATGAAAGCATAGCATCCACCAATTAATAGTCACCACCACCCCCATTAGGCCATCATCTCCAAACCCAAAAGAAAACCACCAACTTCATCCTACAAAGCAAGCCGCTAACATCGGGAGGAGGTCATGGAAGTTGCTGAAATTGTATGAATTGCCATAATAATGTGGCCACCACCATCTTCACCGCACATAAAGAATAATTGGAAGCTTTACGAGCCGGGAATCGGGGAATGAGGAAATCACATAACCAGAAACAAGCTCCTTGAAAACCCTCTCTAAATTCTTAACCCTCTTCTTTGTAAGGAAATTGCCCTCCTAATGTAATTTCAATTTGGGTCCATTTTTGATTCAATCTAATACTCGTTTGATCATTGGATTCCATATTATATAGTCTACATTTGAAGTTTAGATTTTGAGGCAACTAATATTAATGTGGACCATGATATACGTACCTACTTGGTAGGTTTTGAATATGATCTATGTTTAAAAATCAATTGGGGCTTAACGAATATGTCATTTTCAATAGATTGGATAATGGTTTGGAATGTTTAAAAATATTGAAACCAATTTGAAATGACACTAAAAGATTGTGAGGTTTTAGATACTTAATTCAAGAAAAAAATTGACGCTACAATACAATTGGGCTGAGGCCTAAGGGCACAATGGAAATAGCACAATTTCAAAATTTGTCTTTATTAGAGGCACACAACTTTCTTGAATGTGATAAATGACTAGACTGAGATAATTCAGTTTCTCAGATATCCCAAAACAAAGTAGTAAATTTCAATCCCTTTCGTTCATGCCTACTCTCTACCAACTCTACACTCTGGTAAATTATATATATTTGCAGTAACAAAAATGTTTTCCAATTTGCAATAACTATATATTCCTTTTAAACCCGTGCATGCATATGCAGTCTGAAGAAAAAAAAGGAAGAAAAAGAAGAAAGACCTGGGTATGCATGCAACAACATAATAAAGAAACTATGACTGTAAAGTTCGATGAATATAATATGATTTAGGGTTTGCCCATGCCTACTATTTGTATGCTTGAAAATTTTATCATTTTCTTTGGCCAGAATCTGAAATCCAGTTTTGCTTGGTATTCTAAACCTTTAAATGTCACTGATGAAATCTAAAGTTTGGGCATTTCCATGTATATTTACGTTGACCTTTCTTGAAAAGTTATTCATTTTCATTCGTTCTATAAATGGTGTCAAATGTTGGTACACTTGGGAATCGCAGCAGGAACACGTGTGTCCTATGAAAATTACCCGTAAAGATCACCAGCGTATCTACCATTCAACTCCCAGTGGACTATGAGACTTGTTGGCTAGACTCCCTCTTGAATCCAGCCTTTTGTTTTTGTGTTTTTATATTTTTATCATAATCCATCCCTTTGTTTCAGTAGGACCGACTTTTGAATGTACAACAAAAAATGGGCGAGGATTATTCTCTCTTCAGCTTCCTCGTTCAAAATCCATTTGTATACAGGCAGAGATTAAAAGAGACGGAGAATTCTCATCCACTAAAAATACTAATTATGTAGGCATCAAAGATGAAGTGACCAAGCAGAGACAGTTTGTGTTGATCTGTTTCATTAATAAAAAATGTTTAGGCCATGCATTATTAACTTTAAGTCCACACAGTACATTAGAAATTTCGAATTCATATTGTGTTTTTTTTAGTATGATACTCAATCCTAAAGAAAATAAGAGAAACAAAAGACCATTCAAATTAATTATAAATTAAATGTAACCATGACAAGGAAAGTGTCAATTTTTCAATTGATGTAATTTATCTAAAATTTCATTGTATTATTAGGCATTCGATGACAATTTAGTTTAGTAGTATTTGGTCTCCACTTTGTTGAGATAATTGAGATTAAATATTGAAGAAATTGAGGTTTTATCATAAAATTTATTGACAATTAATATGGGGAGTAGCGCCCAATTACTTATAGGCCTATTTAAGGTCATTCTCTCATCAATTAATGTGGAATTCATCTCAACATGTTTCCTCACGTGTGGTGACTTTTTAACCAAAACATGTGAACAACACAGATGAGGTGATATGAAGCACATGCGGCCACTGGATTTAACACTTAGGATAACTTGCTCTGGTACCATAAGAAATTAATGTTTCACTATCAAATCAAGAGGCAATGTGGAAAGTATCCCAACTACTTTTAAGCACATGCAATGCAAGGTCCCTTCTCTCGTCATGAAATTCATCTCAAACAAATATCATGTAGTACCACAGTCGTTGAATATAAAAAATGCTTTGTTTTTATTTTTTTAGTTGAACAAACTAAGTATACGCAATATCATGGAGTCTCCAATATCATTTACACTCACTTTTTTATTAACATGAAGGCCTTTCGTCATTTGGAAATGTGTCAAAGACATAGTATTATCACATTTTGAAGTAGAACCAGACACCGTCACACACACCAAACCCTCGACAGATGAAGTGTAGTTAAATTTCACAACTGTAAGTCAAGCGAAGTCGGAAAACTCTGTTATATAGTTCTCTACCCCCCTTCACTTGGGCACCTTGAGTGATCTCTCTCTCTCTCTCTCTCTCTCTCTGCACATGCTGTAAGAACTTCAATATTACTACTGTAATGAGGAAACCTTGCTGTGAGAAGAGAAAGACGAACAAAGGAGCATGGTCGAAGCAAGAAGATGAGAAGCTCACTCAATATGTTGAAAAAAATGGCGAAGGAAGCTGGCGTTCCCTTCCACTAGCTGCAGGTATACATGCACTTCCTCTTGAACTTACAAAATTAACCCAATCAACCAAAAACATGTTCAAGCAGTGGATTGCTCCCGTGGATTGAGGTTCTTAGAGTTTTTGTTTTTACACCCCACTGCTTCTTCGATTTAACCATCTTCCTCTCTTAATGTAATTTAGAGTAGTAATATTGTTGGTAAGAAAGAAAAAAAAGCACTAACATGCACAAATTCACTCACATACACACACATACTCATGCAGTTCTCAATTAATTTAGAACTTATAATTTTTTGCTTGAAAAATATAATATATATATATATTAAAAAAAATTAATGAAAATGAATTGAAAATTTTGAGTTTTAACGATAAGGACAAAATAAAGGGTAAAGTAAATAGTACCAGGATTGACTTTTTAGTGTAAAAATATAGTTTTTCGTTAAAATAAACAGTAGCAGAAGTTTTCGTTAAAGTTCCCTAAACTATTTTTGATTAATTTTAATTGTTGATCATATTTTGAAATTAATAATGGTACAGGCTTGCTTCGTTGTGGAAAGAGCTGTAGATTAAGATGGGTAAATTATCTAAGGCCAAACGTGAAACGTGGCAACTTTGGTGAAGATGAAGAGGACCTAATCATCAGGCTCCATGCACTTCTTGGAAATAGGTATACTGCACGTGCCATCTTTTATAAAATTATATTATACAATATGTTGACAACATTTGAGAAAATGAAGAAAAAAGGGAAAATTTTGAGTAAAAGATAACCATCTCTCTACCATAGACATGCAGTAGTAGTGT